AGCGACAAACTGTGGGGTAGAGCCGGGAAGCCAATACGGAAGTGCCACACACTGCAGTTCATATATTGGCCGATAGGCGATGGCTGCAGAAAGGAGCAATTTCCATAGACCCCATGTTAAAATGCCCAACTTTACAGCAGAAAAAAACATGTTTCTACCCCTGGCTCCATACATTTTATTATCGATATAGTTAGATTCCACCTTCATGATTATGGATCTGTGAGTGAATTGTTTTCTAACGCGACCCTTTTATTTATATTAGGTCTTAAAGTTTGTGCATAAATTAGGGCGTGGTCACATTGAGTGACGGCTCTGTCAAGTGCCTGCCGCTGTTAGCTTCTTGTCTCTCTGCTAGCTGCTCCGTGAAGCTACGGGGACTCTGCCTGCTCAGCTCATCCAGGAAACACAACTTGTAGCCGGCCGTGGTTGTTTGTTCTTCATGCTTATATATCGGACTATTGTGACTCGCTCTGCGGTTAAAACAGACGGTGCATGAATGCGGTTTTGCGGTAAGTGAAATTATAGTGCTTTATTTATGTGTTAATGATTTTAATCAGCTACGTAATGAATGGTAAGGCTTGGGTTAGCATGTAAGCTAGTGGTAGCTACATCGGTGCTAACGATTGTAATCGTAGCCTCCAAGTTAAAATCATAGACTGTGTATATAAAGGTTACAACGAAATAGACAAGTGTTAAGTGGGATAATACTGTTGAACAAACGGCTTCTGTTTGAGGTTGATAAAATAAGGTTACATCCTTGTAACTTAGAGATATTTTATTATGTAGGTAGGAACTGTATGCATTTTAGGTTAATTTAAATTGGCTATGCTCAAGTATGTAGACAAGCTAATGTCGAAGTAGTGTATGTGAAATCAACCTCACAATAAGATGTGTGTATATTACAATTATTAATGTCATATTTCAAGATGATTACTTAGATATTACAATATGGTTGGTTGAGCTGGAGTTCATTATTGAGCTTACATGTTAACGTCACAGTCATCTGAAGAACGAACCCAAACCTTGTTGTTTTTATTAATTGCATTACCAAATGGGTATCAAATAAACAGTAAGCATTGGTAACACAACTTCCAAAGTTACAGTAAAATAAAAAGGCCCCTGACTCGGACAATACACAATCCAACATGTTCAACAGAAGAGAATCAGTTATATTGTTTGTACACATGGTACGTTACATATATATATATATATATATATATATCTGTTTGTTTAAGGTGTCCAGACCAGAGAGTGAGAGACAGAACTGGACTCCTCACAGCAGTGAACTTCAGCACAGGTACAAAGACTCTTTTTTCATACTGTACAAAGAATCAAGAAAGATATTGGTTTAAATGAATGAAGTATTGACTTTAATACACTGATATACATTCCATTAAACAATACTAAATACTAGATCACCTACACATCAGTTAAGTTGAGGGTTTTTTCCATGCAAAAAGTTACATTTAGATGATAACAAGCAATATGACTTTGTCAGCTTTCTAATTTAATGTATTGAAGGCAAAGATATTTAACACATAGTGAGAACTGCTACTATTTATCTCTCAATATTGTCTGTAAAAAACGTGATAAAAGTGATTCTTTCAGTGAGACAATAGAGCAAGCTTCTACAGTTGCACTACGTTTTGATAACAGTTAAATATTATTTTGATAATAACATATATTTCAATGTTGATGAACTTCATACTGTTCATTCATAATCTGATTGTCTTTGTAGCTCATTGTTGAAATAAAAAAAAAACATTACAATTACAAAATAATTATATCTACAGCCCCTAAACACACAAACACACCGCTTTCATAAATAACACACTTGTTCTGCAATAATATGTTTTATGTTTCCTGTCATTTTTGTTAGGAAAGGACATGCCTGAAAGACAGGACATGTTCTCCTGCTCTGAGGGTCAAGAAGAACATCCAAGAGGAACATTAAAAGCTGATGTTATGAGATTTTAAGACCAGTACAGGACATTCACTAAGAAACTACTTTTATTGTAAAAACAGTCAGCTGATCGAATGCAGCTATTTCCACATCTACACTACATCAGCTGATTATTTCTATTTGCCTCACTTTATGAGCTTCACAACATGTACCTTGTTTTGCAACGTCACAAATAAATGGGGCCAATCTTCAGTCAGATGTGAATGTGTAATCTAACGTTTTCAGTAAGAATAATGGACAAAAGGAGTGCAAATACAAATACAATTTATTGAAATGTGAACCAAAAGTTAATCAAATGTTTTAAATAAAAAGCACATATGAACAGAAGGTGTAAACCTATTAAATGTATTAAACACATTTAGTCAAATAAAGTGACCGACAACTGTGCAGTTGGTATCAGCTGTGCCCAGCATGGGCTCCTTCATCAGCCCTGGTCCTCCTCGCAGAGGAAAGACCCTCAGTCCTCTCCAAACCAACAGACAGGACGTCCATCACACGGAGGTTTCTCCCTGAAGTCTCTGCAGCTCTCTGGACACCATGCTGTCTCAATCCGTCCACACTGAATATGAGATTGGGAAAATGAAAATAATAAATGCTTTAGACAATAAGAAACATAAAGTTGACTGTTGAGTTGCTCAGTTTTTTTAGATTGTCAATACTATTACTGTATAACTAATATCTCAGGTTAAGAGGCACATTCAAATAAAGATTGGTCTTTAAATACATTTTGTCTTTTGAATTGTTTGTCTAAAGTCAAGGATCTAGAACTGGTACTTAGTTTTAATGATACAGTCTGGTTATTATGCTGTTTGGAGGAGGCCTCACAGGTAAGAGCGCTAACTAGCTACCATCATATGTACCTTAGCTTGAGTTAAATGTATTAAACGTATAGTTAAGTGATATCAAAATATAAATAACTAATGTCATGCAAACATATTAATATTTGCTTGATTCCAGTGTTGAATTTAGCACAATTGCTTACAAACGTTAAGGGGTTTTAAGATTCTGAAGTATTATGCTAAAAGCTCAATAACTTAGATTATTATTTATAGTTTTGCTGAATAGTTTCATGTCCGCTTACCTTAGAAACGTAAAATGCGACGGCAGCGTGCAGATGGGGAGCATGTTAGCTTAGCTTGGTAGCTTCAGCTAGCTCTGGAACTTTCAGCTTGGTGGCAGCAGGTCCCGCCTCTAAACAATCCAGAGATAAGACATTAAAAGCAAAAAGTGGGCAGAGGAAAACTCATGCTTTCTAATGTAGTATAGTTGCTGAGTCATATAGTTCCAATGTGCATGTCGTATAGAGTTGCAGTCTGAAAACACCCATTGGCTCAAAGTAGGTCAAGTTTACATTCACGTCAGTCTTTGCTGGTGCTACTGTAGATTGTGCCCTCCTTTTTTCCCTTTGTTTGTTCACCTAAATGTAGCACCCCTGAGAAGCTTATTATGTCATGAGTGTGACAAAAACATCTTGACATGTGTGATATCTCGGTTAAGTTGGACAGTTTGTGCTCATTAAGGAACATCTGAGAAGAGAAACTGTACCAGTCAGGAATCTAAATCTGTGTCACTGGCTCAAATGAAGTGGCTTTATTCATAAGAATTTGGATACCAATATTAATTTTATAACATGTTTTGCCTCCAAAGGAATTGTAAATTAGACAAGTATTTAAAAAATGTGCAATTACACCTATCAAAATATAATAAATAACTGATTGTGTTGTTTATGTGCTTTTTTTTCCTCCAGTTTTGCTCCTGTCATTTCCAGTTAATGTCAAGACCAGTTTTGAGCCATGAAAATGCTTAAAAGCTGAATAAATAACTTTTTAATATATGTACATGTAAATTGGAATAGCACACATTTTTCGTTGTTTGTTGGATGACAAATGATTTAACAGTGTTGCTAGAGAAAATCCCCCATATATAGTTAGGAAAGCAGATTTTGGTGGGGTTAAAAGAAAGAAGAAATCCAGACGACGTAAAACTGAAGAGTGACAGTCTGATAATGGTAATGGACATGTCACTCATAAATGCTTGGCATACCTGCTCTAAATGCCTTACAGTGCTGCAATTGCAAACAATTACATGCGAGCAATTGAAACTTGAAATACAGCATTTTACAGCAGGCAGAGTATATGATTGATGTGAAGGGAATGCGAACATAAACTGTCAGTTTGATAATCGAAATATGCCATAAATCCACAAAATTAGGGAAACTATGGCCCTGATTTGACTTATAATATTTACACAAGTATTCTGAAGTAAACAACTAATGTCATGTGCTACATTTGTGGGGAAGAACTGTTGAGTTTAGTGAACCCTCAGCAGTAGCCTGCACCATGGCCGTAGTACCTGGCCCCAGGACAAAAAACAAATGTGGGACCCTTGTGACTATCATCTACTCCCCCATCCAAGGGTTTGGTGTCTTGATTTTAATTTGTAGTCATTTTATTTGTATCTATTTTTTAACAGCATTATGTTTTTATTTTAGGCAATGAAAGAACATTTTCCAAAAATCTGTATTATAATGTGATAAATGATAAATGCAACAGAGTATTAAAACAAGGAGCATTAAGTAACAACATTATAATTGCATTAAGTGGTGCATTATACTGTAAGTATACAAAGGAGAACATTATGATTAATACAATACAAATTCATTCTAGTATCCATTTTTTCACTTTTTATTTTATTTTGATTGCTCACAAACCATTTTTAGTGGAGGGGTCAAGAAGCAACAAGCTTATACAACAAAATCCGTCAAAAATAATAATGAAATATATGGGGAAAAAACAAAAAATGTAACGATAAAGAAATGTAAAAAGACAACAAAAATAGAAATATTATTTAAAAAAATTAGCAACAAAGTCGAAGAAATATATATATTTTTTTGTTGTATTTGGTTTACCTCAGACATTAAATATCCCACTGTCTTGTGAAGGGAGCATCAGTAAGCGTTGCCGCCCTCTGGTTCTTTGACGTCGCTCCGCACATGGATGAAGTGTCGAGGCTCCGTCAGAGCCATACAGTCTATGGTCAGAGCCCGCCCTCCTCCTCCAGCTATTTGTCAGCCAGCTCCGTCTACAGGCAGCCATCCGCTCACCATCCTGCTGCTGCGCGGAGTCCCGTGTTTTCGCTCTGAGCCCCTGCGTCGTTTTCACCGCGACTGCGAGGATCTCCGAGGGACCGGCAAGCTAGTTGGGTCGTGTCTCTTATTTAGGGGGGGACATTCGGCTTTGACTTTGCGAGATTTTGTTCTCCAATTGCCCTTCAAGACATATGGAGAAAATGGCCAGACCTCTTCCTATAAACGCAACTTTCCTGCCGCCAACTCACGGCGTGCTGAAATCCCTGCTGGAAAACCCGCTAAAGCTGCCTTTTCATCACGATGAAGGTATGTTTTTGTTTTTAAAGTAGCCAGCTTGCACGTACACTAACTCGCCTTTCGTCTCCCCTTCTGTCATGTTTATCCGCTGGTTGTTTTTATTCTGTAGACACCCATGGGTTTTGACGGTTTTGACAGATACAGCGCAGTTAAGACACAGATCAACTTAAATCATGCAGAGTGATATCTCATAATATTATTATTACGATCTTTGTCGAAAAATAAAGTTATCGTATTGGTTTTGCAGAGATAAGTAAAATAGAATGATGATTGTTTTGGCTGTTTTGTTGTTGACTGACAGATTGACACGGACTTCAGCTCAAGTTAACAAGCTAGTTTGGCTTTTGCTTAGGATCTAAATTAAATTATTATGAACTAATTTGATCGTGTTGTGACTGACAGTGCTGTTTTTAGCTCGCAGGTGCGTTCATAACCTTTAAACCTTCAATTGGATTTATATTAGTGATATCGCAGTCTGTCCACAGAGGGCGTCTTTTCTTTGATGCAGCTTTTGTGTATGTTTTCATAACAAACTGATTGTATTGTTAAATGTGTTTTTTGTAACTAGCCTACATTGTCATTTTTAATCTTTAAGGGAACACGTTTCTCCAATTAATCAGGCACATGGATTTGGTTTATTTGGATAGATTTCAATTCAATAGTTTAGACCAGTGTCAGAAATGTTGGGTGGCATAGAGCAAAACAAATCATAATGCTTGAGATTGAGAAACATTTGTATATTTACTTACCAGTTAAGGCTACTATCCATGACCTTTATGAAGCAAACATTTTAATTTCATTTTAATTTCAATCTCTTAAACACACAGTGATGTTGTTCACACTACACAGCTGTTATTACATAACAAAACATAACTAATCCCGCAGTGTACTAACCAATGATGCGGTATTTTTAGTCGAGTCTATAATTGTTTTCATCTATGCTACACACATCAACACAGCATGGCTCCATTTGGCAATGCAATTAAACACGACACGATCTTTAATTGCAGTTTTTTTATATATATAAACCAATTGTATTATATACAAAGGCTTTTAAGTTGTTCTTAATAGCCTTTGTTGATTTCCCCGAAGCATACTCTTTATTTATACCCATGCACTGACCCGTGATCCTCCTGTGCTGTGACAATGAAATGACTTTGTGCAAATATTCACAGGATTCGGGAAGGACCAGGAAGAGAAGAAGCTGGACGATGAGAGCAGCACAGCCAACCACCCGCAGTCGGCCTTCCTCGGCCCGACCCTGTGGGACAAGACGCTGCCGTACGATGGGGACAACTTCCAGCTGGAGTACATGGACCTGGAGGAGTTCCTGTCGGAGAACGGCATCCCCGCCAACACAGCCCAGGGCGAGCAGGCAGCACGGAGCGCTCGGGCATCTCCGCCTGCACTCCCCGCCACACCTTCCCCCAGCGTGGTGGACCTCAGCAGCCGCGCCACCACCGCGGTTCACACCACCATGGCTCCTCAGACCTGCCTCCACAGCCCCGGCTCAGCAGGTAGGAACCACGGCACCCGAAACTGAGGCCTGTCACAATAACTACTTTGGTTCCCGGTACAGAAGACGATTAAGGCCACCATTTTGTGGTTTTGTTCTGAGATTGAAGTCAGAATTCTGAGAACTTGATAAAACAAACACTGATCGGCAGATGCACAAAAATTGCACGTGTCCATATAATCCTCTTCCGTATACCAGAAATAATTACAATGAATCATATTATTGTTATTTGAAGACTATTTAAGGACAATAATAGTATAATATTGCAAATACATTTACAAAAAGCCATGAATTTTGAATTCTAAAACAGATTTACAAAAAATGAATGTATCAAGATATCCCAAATATGAAATGAAAACAAACAGCCATCACTTTGAATAAAATGATGAAGTCTAATATTAGTAGGGAAACCCTGCTGTTAAATGTTGATAATGATAACATGTTGGTGACATTCTTATATAAGCAAACAAACAGGCATGTAAACACAACAGGGATTATCAAGGTCAGCAGAACGTTATCCAGGTGGTTTCCACATATTGTGCCATAAGTTAATATCGTGTAAATGATCGAGGTCAAGCTCACAAAATTGCACCTTAGTTAATAGGGTTACTTATTGAAGTCCATATAATGTACTATAAATCAAACCATATAATGTACTATAAATCATTGTGACAGGCCTACTTTAACTTTCACACACTTGTTCACACCTCCACTGCCTCAGGGGATGCTGTAAAAGGCTGTTTGCTCACCTGCCACACACACCTACCACACACACCTGCCACACACACTTATCCTCTACCATTAGACAAACTGCCTGCCCTGAGAAATAAAGAGAACAATTGTTAATTCAAATATTACTCCCCACATAATCTCTCTTCAAAACAAGCAATCGGTTGTGGTTTTTTTTCTTCTTCTTCTTGGCAAACCAGCCAAAGGTGCATACTTCACCAACTGGACTGGAGTTTGGAACCAAACCGGAGTGAGCGCTTTCTGAGCTCAGAGTTTGCACAGTCACACATTTGGGGATATAGGCAAACTCAGGGGATGATGAGTCATAAGGACCTCAGCACCCCCTCAATAACACACGGATGCAAAAAGTATAATTTGGCCTTAGCCTCTCAAGTCTAAGATGAGTGATAAATGAAGGCGACCTGTACGGTACACTCTATCTGTGTGCATTCTGGATGTGTGTGTTCTGTTTTGGTCTGCATCTTCACATTTACCTCCTACATGAACATGTCTGGGGTCTCCTGCGGAGCGCTGAGCCATGTGACAGACACATGCAGGCTTGTCCCAGAAGCTTGTCACGGCACAAACCTTCCTTCCTCTCGCTCTCCCCTCTCCCCTTGCCTTTAACACTCTCCACTTCCCGTCCGGTCCTCCTCTCCCTCCCTCTCTCGGGCTCGACTCTGGCCTGGACTCGGAGCCAAGGCTCAGGCTGTTCCCTGCAGAGATCACATGGAGTCTGCTGTGATTTGGTCACGTGTGCCCGAATACTGTTCCAGCTCGCCAAGCCTCGTCTCGTTTAACCAGCCCCCCCCACAACAAACCTCCATCCCTCTGTGCTTGCAAGCAGCGCAGCAGGCGGCTGATAACATTGTTATCACAACCAACGCACAAGCGAGTGGGCGTTTCGCTGTTTTTCTCAGTCTGAGCAGCCTGCAGACTTTAAGGGTCTGTGCCGGGGCCAGGTTCAGGACATGTGACCCCTGCGCGCTGTTGGCAGGGGCCAAAGGGGAATTTGGATGAAGGGGGGGTCAGAGGGTGTGTTGTGGTGCATTCCTGCGTGTTAGTCAAGGAAAGTTGGCTCAGCGAAACATATCAGCACATTTTAGGAACTAGATGTAGAGTACTTATCATCGTGGAGGAATAATGTGTCCGAGTACAATCACTCAATACTACTGAGTACACATCTTTTTCTTTCTCAGTGTCAGAGCCAGTTTCCTCTGGCCTAGTTTCTTTCAAAGTAATGTCTTGTCATGCGGTGAAGGGACCTACATGTCCTGCCTAAGTGATCTGGAGGAATTATGATAATGATGATCAAGTGCATGTCATTATTTATGTTGTTAAATATTTAAAAAAAGGTCCAAAACCAAAAATGAGTCAGTCTGTCTCTCAATACATATAATACTATCTGTTGAAGACAAAAAACACTGTATTTGTATCAAAAGTTACTCAAACTGGAGGAAACGCATCTGTTTTGGACTATTTTCAGCTGTGGATTGAAACACAATCTGTCTGACATGTGTATTTAAAGCTGCAGGACAGTGATTGGGATTGAGTCAAAGTAATACAGTGTCAGGAATGCAGGAGCTGTTTTTAATAGCTTTTTGGATCACAATCAAGCTCTATGGAAGAATAGGTATCCGGACACACACAATAGGTGTTAGTAGAAAGAAAACAATCTTATTTCTGGTCTTTATTTTTTTCAGGATAGAAATATTGTAGGACATCACTGTGGTCACGTAAAACCAGGTTGATCTTCCGAAAATGCTGAAACTAGTTTAAAGCCAATTAGGGGGTAAAGGGCAAAGCACTCTCTCAGTGTGTGGCTGCTGTAGGTCCCACCCAGGTCAGAGTGCTGCATTCCAACCTGCAACACAGCTTATCTTATCTAAAGCTTCGATTTACACACGGCATCTATTGCACGTCTGTCCGTCCTGGGAGAGGGATCCCTCCTCTGTTGCTCTCCCTGAGGTTTCTCCCATTTTCCCCTTAAACTGTGGGGTTTTCTCTGGAAGTTTTTCCTTGTACGATGTGAGGGTCTAAGGATAGAGGGTGTCATTTTTCTCATACTGATATTCTGAACAATCTGTGCTGTTGTATTTGCAGTAAAGTGTCTCTACTGTAGGCTATTTTTATTTTATGTACAGCACTTTGGCTCGACCAAAAATCGTTTGTATATGTGCTATATAAATAAAACTTGATTTGATTTGATCACTGGCTGTAGTACTATCACCACACAGCACCGTGTTAACACTCTGATACCATCATGTAGCGTGACAGCAACCTGCAGCCGGCGTTGTGTGTAAACACATAAATACTGCCACATCAAAATGAAACCAGTTCAGCAAGGTATGCATGAGTTCAGCTTTCACACGGCTCACAGCTACCTTTCCTGGCCTAATTTTAGATTTCCTGTGCAAGGAGGGGGACTATTTTATTGTGAATCATCGACTTCCACTCCACTGGAATGTGTGGAAGGGCACTCCAGGTTAACGAGCGGGCATGTACTTTTACCCCGTGTTTTAACTCCGCTAATAAGGCGATCAAAATGAGCGGGAAAGGTGATTAAGGCGACACTGCTGGCTATTTGCAGGCCGGACAGATTGTCTCACAGCGGCTGGTTTTAGTGGGTAAGGAGCTTGCAGTCTGGGAGCTGTGGGTCTTACCTTTAAGGATGGGTTACCTCCACCAAGTCAGGTGATTGATGGCTGGTGGTCAGATCTTCTGAAGGCAAAAGGATCAATAGGTTTAAACCCTCTGAACCCTGAGCAGTTTCTTCAGTTGTTTTGGAAACAGCACGACCATAGCTAGAAGTAAAGAGGACGCAAGAATGTCTTCTTGAACATTTCTTATAATCTTAAAATACATTTAAATGCAAAGGGAAAAAACCCATGTTTAATTTCTTTGATCATTTACAACAAGTAGGAAACATTTTTTCATATTTCCAAATGGCCACATGTGTTGCCATTATGGGAAAAACATGGATAAGTTGATTTACAGAAAATAAATGTTTTAAAGACAACAGTACATTTGGGATCTGGGAAACTGGATGCACATTTTTACATTTTTTCAGATACATTTCATCAATTTATAAAGAATCATTTTCAACAATTTCCGGAAACACATGTTCACAAAAAAATAGTTTGATAAACGCACAACCTCTTTTAATATCAATATATATGTTGGACATTTCAGATGTCATTTTAAACCTCCCAACCTTTAACTCTCATGGTTTAACATAACTTTAAATTATTTATCTGTCTTATAATTCTTATTGTTTTAATTGGGATGTCGTTGTTAAGGGTTACATGATATAATAATAAAGGTTAAATGAATGCATCAAATAGAAAATCTCCATCTTTACCCAGCATACCTTGTGTTAAATGAGCTGCAACATAAACACCTCCTCAAAGCAAATATTCAATTGTTATGTTTTCATCGGGGGATTTTACCACATTTTCTCTGCATTACAGCTCAGTTCAACAAGCTGATAATGATCCGTTTCAACAGTCCTGCATAGTCTTTCACACGTTTGTTGTGGAAGCCAATAGCCAATTGCGGAGCCAATAGCTTCCTCTGATGTACAGCAAACACTTGCTGTTTGATTCTCATATATTCTCATCTGTGGGCCCCTCCTCAAATGTCCAAAGCATTCTGACCACGTACACACACTCTGACTGAAGGTCAGCCGCATTGACTGGCTGTCATGGCGAGCTCACACAGAAATGTAGGTCATGATGTACTAACTGCAGCAGCATAACAGCAGCTAATGAAAATGTCATATCCTTGATGGTTGTCATGCTCATCGTGCTTCTACTATCGAGCGGGGGGAACGCAGGTTTGGTCCGTGCGACGAAAACAAATGAGCCCTAATGTAATGGATCACAGAGAAATTGATCTGGATCTGTGGCTCATCCAGTTCAGCCCAAAAGGAACAATTAGAGAAGCTTGGCACAGGAGGAAGACGGACGTGGAGGCATGCAGATCCCCTTCAGAAGATGACAGCTGCTCTGAGACCAGCTGAGCTGCTGATAGCTGCACCGTTTATGATAAAACTATTATCTTACACATTATTTCCCCACCTGTGAATTTCAAAGCTGGTGTTAGAGCCCCACCTGCTGCCCAGATGGGGAATATACTCCTCTGGACAGGTTTTCTGTTGGGTTTTTTCTCGACAGTTGTCGAATGTTGAATGTTTACAAAACAAGGTTGTGCTAAGAAATGCATTTAAAGTTCTTCGTCTTCTATAAACATTTGTAATACTGTTTATCAAGAAACACAGTATTTTCTGAATAATTTGTTTTACAAAAACTGGAAAAAGAGAATGAGCTTTTCCACATGTGTTACCATTATTAGGAAAACAATTGGGTAGGTTGATACACTGCAAATGAATATGAATAAGTTATTTAACATCTTTGGGCTTTTGAAAACATGCACAATTTGTTTCAGATGCATTTTAATACATTTGTCAGATTATCAAGAAAATACAAATTGGCAATTTGTAGATGTTGATGTGAAAAGAGTCATGGTTTGGTAAATACAGAACCTCCTCCTCACATTTTCTTTAGGACATTTCAATTTGAAAAAGCAAAACATATTTTTCTTCAGTTCCTCGTAAACTTCAAATGTCAGAAAAGGCTATTTTCGAGCCTCTCAAATATGAAAATACCATGCCTTTATTTGTTTTAAATGATATTAAAGTGGGTTTTGGACTGAAAAATTACACTTTAAAACATTACTTTGCACTTTTAGAGTAGTTCCTCACATTTGATAGACTAAAATCAAGCAATTAATCTTCAGTTGCAGCCTACAATCATAGTTAAAAAACAAGGAAAGGTAGCAGTGAGCCCCCCCTGTGAAGCCCCCCTGTGAGCCCCCCTGCTCCGTATGAGTTCTCCTTACACAGCTGCTCCTCCCGCCAGCTTTAAGGGCTTCACTAAGAAGAGCTGCTGGTGCAAAATGAAATTGCACTTTGCCCTTTAAATGTTGCATTTACAGTCAGAATGAGAGGTGCTTGGAGTTTTCCTCCACAAAATGGGATGAATCTGTGCACTATGCTAATGTGTGGTATTTGTCTCTCAGCCCGGGACACCTCCAGCCCCATCGACCCAGAGTCCATCCAGGTGCCCATCTCCTACGAGCCGGACCCCCAGGACCTGGCTCTGTCCAGCGTGCCCGGACAGGAGATGTTCGACCCCAGGAAACGCAAATTCTCCGCTGAGGAGCTGAAGCCGCAGCCCATGATCAAAAAAGCCCGCAAGGTGTTCATCCCAGAAGACCTGAAGGTGAGCTCTGTCGGGGGGGGGTTAGGGCTGCTCAATTAATCGTATTTTAATCGCAATTACGAGTATGGCTTGGAACGATTACGAAAACAACGTAATTGAAATAAAACGATTACGAAAACAACGTAATCGAAATAAAACGGTTATTTTTTTTATTTTTTTTTAGTTGAGTTATACTTAAAGTTCAGGTTAATCAACTGTTAAAAACATAATGTTTTTTCTCCAATAAATGGATGTTTTCAAAGTGAATGAATAATCGCATTTAATAATCGCAATTACAATTATTCACCCAAATAATCGAGATTATGATTTTTGCCATAATCGAGCAGCCCTAGGTGACGTGAGGTCAGATGTTTGCCCTGCTGTTATGTAAGCAGCTCAGAATAACCCCTAGGGGTGGAAGACAAGCTGCAAACTAAATGATACAAGGCTGAGCAACATGATGGTTTGAAAAAGGCTTTCTATGAAAAACTTGATTGTAGTAAGCTGCTGTCATATACTTCCAATATTCTTTCATTTCTTAAATTGCTTATTTATTGTAAACTATCAGAATATTATCTTGGAATTTAAGTTTCTTGATCTCCATTTTATTTTTAAATATTTGCATTAACACAAGTAAGAATTTGCATTAAAAAGATCAAATTAAAAACATATATTTATATGAACATCAGAAGTTATTGTAAAATGTCAAATAAAAATATGTTAAAGTAAAATACAAACCAAATCAAAACCTAATAAATGTGCAGTTTATTTAGAACATTTAACAGTGATCAGTATGAATACAAATATGGTGCTTGATATTCAATATGTAAGGTACCAGTACCAAGTTTTTGTGTGTTTTTATTGAAAGAATACTTTATTTGATACTTCATATTAAATCCAGCCAAATATGCCAACATTTAGACTAAAAATGGAAATATCTCTGATTTAAATCAATAAGTATGTGATCACAACATAATCAATAATCTAATCTTAAAGCAGGAGTTCTGTTTGTAATGTTCTTTATATGACAGAAAGAGATTTAATGTGCTGATGTTTCTTAAGTGATTGAAAAGGTACTGCAGCTTTGGTAAAAAAAACATTGTTATTTAATACATGTTGCACTATATTTAGCAGCCATTGTTGCTTTCTTCAGGTTCGGATGACTCACGCAGCCTTAGACAAAATGAAAAAGCTCCACTCTGACGTACGGCAGCCCAGAAACAACATCATTACCTTTGTATTTTATTAAGACATTAACCTCCAAGGTTTTCAGCAGTCTGTGGATTAAAGTTTTAACTGTGAGACAGTAAAGGTATTTGCTGGTGGGAATAACTCAAACTGACAGCGTTGGGTCAGCAGAGCTTCCTGAGTTGACCTTGTGACCCTGCCAGGAGCAACAGGCCTTCACCATGGGACTAATCACTCCTCAAGACCAAGCACCAGACTCTGGGGCTGAGGGGAACAGAAAAGGACATGACAGTATACGGTATATACTATGCAAGGGTAGATGTTAAAAATAAAGATTCTGAAAAAACGTTTTTACCACGGTCGCTATTATCTGATTATCATGTGATCAGAAAGACCTCTTACTGTATGACTACCAGCCTTTTTCCCAGCTTCTCTCAGATTTTTGAAATGGATAATGACAAAACCTGAAGACATTTTTTTTTTTCAATTGTGCGAGGCACGCCTCCCTTGGGGGGCGCCAGAGAGCTTCATGGGAGGCGCAGCATGAGAAAATAAATAAAACGAGAAACAGTGAAATCTAGCTGGTTAATTTCAGCTAACTTTATGCGAGCGGCAACATGCAGTGTGCGAAAAAGCACACGTCTGATCGTCTGGGACGTGTTATTTATAATATCGGACAAATTACATCTTTCCATTGACGTGTCCGACGGACAAGTGACGTTTTTCGCCCCTAAATGTTAGTTTCGGTTCTGCTTGTCGATTCCTAAGGAAATGCATCTCGCCGCTTCCTGTCCTGTTAGACGGGGCGGGCGGGACGTGTAGCACAGTGGCAGGGTTGGGAAGCAAAACTCGGTTCCGAGTAAGAACAAATAACAATTGTGCGGTCCCGGGAATAATAAGAGTTGTGGGGACAGGAGGCGGAGGCCGAGCACCGCAGACCGCAGCTCTCTCTCTCTCTATGCTCCGTATCAGCTGATCGCTGAAATGAAAATACTATTTATTTACTTTTACAAACAGTGAGCCGCTGGGCAGCTGCAGCATGTGTATTGCACAGTGGCGAACCGTCAGGGCCTTCAAGGTATTCAGAGAATACCCTGGAACACTCAGATAAAACAAACAAAAAATCGATTTAATTATATAAATACAATTTTATAAAATGTAATAAAATGTATATAAAATGAATAAATGAGAATCGTATCCGTGTTGTTGATCTGTAATATTACAATGTTACGTTGATTTGTTTGTCCTTCTCGGACCATGCACTACGCATTTCAGTGGTTTTGTGTTAGAAAAGAAAGCAACCAATCAGATCTTGTTCTGGGTCTCTGGGTAGAATATCCTTCAACCAAGGTATTCTACATCCTTGATAGAATGCCCTGGCCGTTGCACTGAATGAGAGCGTACGTTTGGACTGACAGTTTCCCTCGGCTCCAGGGTATTCTAGAAGGCCTGCTAGTTAACTGGCTCGAGACAGAGGATCTAGATCAGTGCTTCTCAAAGTGTGGTCCGCGGACCACTGGTGGTCCGTGAGCGCCCCCTAGTGGTCCGTGAGTATATTGGTAACATTTCACATTTGAAATAAATAAATTAATTTAAGTTTTCCGCACTCTCGCGGGAATATTTCCGCAATGGAGCGAGCTTAAGTTTCACTTTAAATTGCATGATATAGCCCAGCGCAACACCTTCATCACACATGTGGCCACTTGTTTGTACCATTTTCAGGCGATTTGTAAAAAACAATGTGTTTTTGGATATTTGTGGAGTTAGGTGGTCCGCGAGTATTTTTTTATTGGTTAAGTGGTCCTTGGTATGAAAAAGTTTGAGAAACACGGATCTAGATGAATGCGACGAAGCAATTCATGCCGTTTTATTGTTTTTAATGTTGAAATGACAAGTGCAACAGGTGAAGATGAAGTTGTTGCGGAATTGTTGTGAGTACCCTTTTCAAGACGACAATTCAGTGAAAAGACGGACATTATCATGCCGCGGAGGGGAGGGGGGGTGTGTATACAGAAGGTCCAGTTGTGATGGCCACGGTTCGCCACTGGTATTGCAGGACTCCGTCTCACAGGCAGGTTGCAGTGGAGAGGACTGGGACTCAGCACGATAGATTCAAACACACACACGGAGACGAGACAAGAAGAGAGAATCAGTCGAGTCATTTCAAATGGCGTGCTCAAAAAAGAGAAAGGTAGACAGCGAAAACAGAGCATTTAATGACATTTTCTCTTACTGGACCTATTTGAAATGCAATTGAATACCCCTGCATTATAGCAACAGCAACAACAACAACAACAACAATAATAATAATAATAATAATTGGGAGGGGGCTGTTCTTATGTTCTCTGAGGGGAGGCTCACCTTCCCACACTTTGAAAACCCCTGCCCTAAATAAATGTTCTCATGAACTTTAAAGCTTCAGTTTTGATTATTCGTGCTGCAGCACCTCTTTTCACCCTCTGTCTGAAACCAGAGCCCAGTCTGCTCTGATTGGTTAGCTGGCCAGCTCTGTTGTGATTGGTCAACCGCTTAGAAATGTCCCTCCCCTTAGCATTTACGCACGTAAATGCATGTGTTGCCTGTTGGAGCCTTTATATATACAGTCTATGGTTGGAGCACTATTTAAAAGAAGTGCCAGTGTTATGTAGTGATGTCACTATGTTACCGAAGTAAACAAAGGATTCCAATGGAGGTGTTTCAGGCAGGGGGGGAGTGTGTGGGAGATAAACTCCCTCTGGATGCACATAAACCTATTGAACACATTACAGGAAAGAGAAAACCCCAAAAAGCACTAGAACCTCTTTAATATTTGCTTTTAGAGTATGTCGGTGTCAGAGTTGTCCAGCCTCAATTTGTTATTATGATAGTTTGATTCATATTATAATTAATGATATATACAGTCTGTGAATAAACCCCTCTGTTCAGTGTTGACACCTCCTCTCCGCTCTCTCAGGACGACAGGTACTGGATGCGGCGCAGAAAGAACAACGTGGCCGCCAAGAGGTCCCGGGACGCGCGGCGGCTGAAGGAGAACCAGATCGCCATCCGGGCCAGCTTCCTGGAGAAGGAGAACGGTGCCCTGCGCTGCGAGGTGGCCGAGGTCAGGAAGGAGCTGGGCCGCTGCAAGAACATTGTGGCGAAATACGAGGCCCGACACGGGCCCCTGTGAGGCCCCCAAAAAGAAAACATCCCACACCCACTCATTTCCCCGACCCGCCTTCCCTCGAGTTTAAAGGACAATGTGTCTCTTTTGGTGGCACCCCCCCCCCCCCCCCCTCCTCCTCCCACAAACCTCCCCCATCTTCTATCATAAGCTTTGATCCTTCTTTTAGTTTCCGTACATATTGTTCCACTTAATATATAGAACCATATATTTACACACACATACTTCCTGTTTTATGTACTGAGCTATGAGCCAACCCACCAGCTGAGTCCCCCTGCTACCTTTTTGAGAGTCGATGCCATGCTGTTTGTCGTTCACTTTCATACCAATTTTATACGTGAGGTAGAGACTGAAAACTGTTCTCTCTCCCTTGTGCTTCTTCTGCTGTGGTATAACATGTGATGTGTCTGAGAGCCTGCTCAGACCCCACAAAATCTTGAGTTTTGTATTATATTTTCTTCCCATCATCTTATACTGTTTTCGTGCTGATCATGTCGTTGTTCAGTTGTCCCTCACAGCTTCTCTAACAGCTCGATATTATTAACGTTCAGAAAGCACTTCCCAAAAAGATTCCCTGTGCATTCGTGTCGTAGATTTTCTTTTCTTCTTTATCCTGACACTGAGCAATAATTCCTTTCCAGAAGAAAACTGACATGACTACCTAACATGCTCCTCACCCCCCTTGCACTAATACGTGTCTCACAATCTGATCCGGTTATCTCAAAATAAATTCCTCCACTTCATATTTATCAGCATAATTTTCTCTCAGATGGAAGATTGTTTTCGGTTATATATATTTGCATTCTGTTTATATAATTGTTAGTATTAATACTACTATTGACATTGTCGTTTAGCTCCTCCTTGTTTTCAGATTACAGCATGATTTTTCTTTCAAAGAACGATAAGCTTTTTATTTGTTTTGGCAAAGAAATCCCGCTTCTGCCTAACTTAGCATGATTTAATATGAGTTTGATTTTATTTTTTAGAAATCAATACAGATGTCTCTCATTGTAGCTCTATGTTTGCCCTCTTTAAGGATGGCTATATGAATGTAAAAGATGTTGACAAAAAAAAGTTGGATGGTGTTGTCCAATACCGTGGTTAACCCGATCGATTTGTTTACTGCAGACCAAAAGATTCACAACAGAGACGATATATTGGTTACAAGAGATAATATGTTTATATGAACCTATTCTATAAGTTGTTCTTTTTGTACAGTATTTTTCCTATACATTACTGAACTATGTATTTTAAAGGCACAACAGATCCAGAATATTGTTATAGAATACATAGCTAAAAAAAACGTATAGTGGTATTTTAATATTCTATATTAGCTTAATATGTGATATGTGAGATTTGTGGATATTCAGCAGCACCCAAACCTCCTGGGCATTATTCTCATCATCATCACTACAAATATTATGACAACACTCCTTTTAGGCTCTTATGTCATAATCCCATTAAACTCTGAGGAAGCAGATGCAGTCCAGAAGAGAGAATGTACAGCAAAGCACTTTTGAAAAATCGACAGAAATCAGACGTGTTTGTTCATTATGTTTGGTGATGTGACATTCCCCCGACACTTAAGGACTTTTCGTCTTTACAATGCTGAATATTCTTTTAGGCTTTTCTTGTTTTGTTTTTTTTAACCGCGCAGCTTGTGAGTAATTTCTTTGTGATTTCATTTGACGGGTTGAAGTTACAATGAAGGAAGGGAAGCTGGTTTATATCTCTGCTTTGTGTGGGATTCGGCCGATGCGTGTCCCTGAACCTGAGTAATGGATACTGGGAAGCTTTCCTTATTTTTCTTAAATGAAGGCTTACAGTAGAGTTTCCCTCAAGGTCTGTTGTGTTGTTGTGTAGAGCTGCATGCTGCTTTTCGCCAATCAGTCCAAGACTGGGGTGGATTTGTGTTTTTCACGGCTAATATTGACATTTCTGATAGAAAGTATGGAAGTCCATTGCTACCAATATTACAGTAGGACAAAATCATCCAAATTATGATATTATTTTATTTTTCGCTAAAAGATAAAATAATTATGACCAAAATGTATTTGTTTGCATTGAATATGAATTCAGTTTGCAGCAGATTAGCTTAGTTTAGCACACACTTTTAAAAAATAGCTTAAGACAGGACATTTCAAATGAAAAAAACTTTTGTTATTTAATCTTCAATTTAAGTGTTTAGATAGTTAACTTTAGTCTAAGTTATCTCAGTGGGTCTCAAATGTTTTGGTCACCATTAATGTAAACAATTATTTCCGAGGCACATGTTTATATGATCATTATAGTTATAAAAAAATAAGAGAATAAATGAAAAACAGGTATGAAATACTATATGACAGTAAAACAAGAATAACGTTTAAAAGTGTGATTTGTAAAATATCCATAAAGAAAAAGTAAATCTGTTTACAGTTCTGTTTCATATTGATTTGTAGATAAATAATAATAAATTCCGTTTTTTTTATTGATTTGGTTTGTTATTGAATTTTTAGCAGCTATTCAGTTTCAAACATAAGATTATTTGTTTTACATACACATTAAGCACACAAATGGCACATTTATTTATTTAGTTTTTTGTTGTTGCAGATCTGGGCTTCCGTATTTTTGTTGAGATATCTTTACATTTTAAAGCATCAATAATTGATCTACTTCAGGGTGAAAACTGTATTTTAAAACAAAATCTTTGAAAAACAAGAGTCAATATCGGCCCAATGAAAACAGATTGAATCTCAGTCCAGACTCGATTTAACTTTATTGATCCAATCCAAAGGTGTGTGTGACATAAAATGGTTATTTTTTTAACCACAAACTATCGTCTTAGTATTTTTGCGCTTTAGAGGGGGATTCCCTTCCTTATCTGCACAGGCGAGTGTGAACAGGGTTCGTAGAGAGAAAGAGCGAAGACTGGAACAATGCCTCCTGAATCTGTGGGGCATCTTTTTATGAAATAATATATATATATAGGAAAAAGCCAATAATTAATCCATGTGTATCCCAAAAGTACCTCACTGTCGAGTGATTTCACTACCTCACCCGGAAACGTTAACCATAATTCTGAGTCTATTCCAGTGCCTTGAATACACTGACTGTTTCCCAGTCTCTCAGCAATGTAAAGTTCTCATCACCAATCGGATAGGTTCACATCTGCACTGAAGGGCTTCTTAGTGCATCAAAAATAAATTCTATATATATTCTCTACACTGACAACTCTGTTCATTTCTTATTTTGGACATTGCAACAGACTTGTAACCATTGTATTCATGGCAACACCAACGGACTGGTTCAAAGTGTATAAAAACACAGACTAAATGTGTTTTGGTCTTGATTGTCATGGAATGGATGCATAACTTTTATTTGTGCTGTTCAGCCTCTCTGTAATTTGTAGTGTCTAATAAAATCCCAATTCTTATCCGCTGTGTATAATTTATCCGTTCATTCATACATGTTTTTCTCAAAATGACCAATTCTTGCAACCTTGCCACAATTTTTTGAATAATTTCTGCTTGATGACTTGCCTTGTTAAAGGTTAAATATACAGTTATAAAATAAGTATAATTATCAAAGGAGCTGGGCCAGACTGGTCTGTAGAATTGACTATTGAAATGTATATTTTAAGTATTCAAAAGTGGCACTAGTCTAGTATAGTTATTATTTAGATAATCTGAATAAAGACATTTTACACATTTGTACATTCTTTGTGCATTTGATTAGGTTTTGATCTTTAGTGTAATTATGGTGTGTTCCAGTTGTACTGGGAAGTGTGAATATCTAAGTTCCTAGTCGGACTTTCTACTTGGAAACTCAGAGATACCTCGCCATACCCGAGATCATCCGTGATCATCATTCAAAATGGAGTCTCTGCATATGAACATTAAGAGAACACTTTAATATAAAATGTTTAGCTCTTCTGTATTATTTGTCACATTAAATCAACTTTACATATGGTCCTGCTCATCCTCAATGTTTGTATTAACAAAATACAAAATAAAGCAGTTATCAACCGTATTGCTAACAATGGCTAACTCCAGGTGACTGCTAAAGCTTTAAAGGTCACCTATTATGTAAAATCCACTTTTTCATGTCTTTTATACATAAACACGATTCTGAAAGTTTCAGGAAAAAAGATTTGCTCACTTTTTGTCCTGATCCATTTATATAAAAACCTGTCTGAAAATGAGCTGATCAGATTTTGGCCACTTTATGATGTCATAACGAATTTTGGCTTGTAACCATTAGCCAATCAGCAACCAAGGTATGCTTAGAGTTACATTTTGCAATAATACTTTTGCAACACTGTGTGTAATATGATTAATTCACTTTTTCTTTGTAATTAGGACAATTCTGGAGAAATGGAGCAGTGGCGGATTTAGGATTGTAGGAGATCCGGGGCTTAGCCCAGGAGATGTTGGGTTGGGGGGGGGGGGGGGGGGGGTGCAGGGGTACAGTGCTATTTTGTATAAGTCGGGGGTGGACCGAACATCCTTTAGGGGGGTCGTCGCCTCCTCTCGGGGGGTCCGGAGGCGTGATCCCCCGGGAAGATTTTTTTTTAAATATTGAAGTTGAAAGCATCAATCTGGTGCACTTTGAGAGCAACATTAACCCTACCTTAATAACACCTTAAAGCGGACAAAAGGCACTGGAGAACACTCATTAACACCCTTTAATGAAGCAAACTAATGCCTTAACTCACTCAAATAGTCGTTTACTTATTATGGTGAAACGAATGTGCGTAGAGTTTTAAAGGATGCGGATAGTCTCACCTTGATTCTGGCGCATTGCTTATCGTTTTATAGATCTATTCTCATCCACCATCTTTGTTTGTGACGTAAAGAGTGTAAGAGTCACGTTTCTGAATCGGACACTCTGAATGGATGCAGTCACAGCCAATCGGAGTCTGATTCAGAGGGTTGCCTGTCAGTTCTGTTGTTATGTGTACTGAAACGAGAGCCGGTATAATTCCACGCGCGAAAACAAAATACGGAATACGTTATTTTAGTGTCTTAAAAGTAGACTGAGGTATGAAGGGTTAACGTTACATCTTAGGATAACTTAACTCATGTTCTGTATACATACTAACATATAAGGTATGCTTAGTGTGGTTACTCCATGTTTACTAGCTATAACATTAACGTTACATCACTCTTTTTCACTTCTTACTCAGTCAGCCAGAGTGCAGATATCACCATTAGATTAACTAACCTGAAACATCATCCATTTCTTGACTGCTGGTGATGACATTGTTGTCAGCTGCTGATACTGCTGCTGCTGCAGCTTGTGGCGCCTGCTTCGATGACAATAACTTTCTAATATCCATAACTGTATAGGCTATAGAGGCTTTGCATATGACGTCACGGTCAGCGCAACGGCCATACTGGAGTACCAAAACAGACACCGTAATAAGTCATACCAGTTCAATGTTTGTTTTTTACCGGACATACAATGGTTAACTTCTGTGCCTTTGTTGGCTGCGGCAACAGAGGTGATCGAAACAGGGGGCCGAAGTCATTTTACAGGCTGCCGGCGGTTATTATAACACACCAGGGTGAAGCAACACATGAACTTTCGGGAGGATCTCAAACCATCCAACCACAACTATACTCGCGTTTGTGGGGATAATTTCACGTCAGGTAAGTGTCGGGTTTTACATACAAACATTCAAAATGAACATATAACCCACGTACTAAGACATGGATCTTAACAAGGAAATAGGAATCCTGGAGTCTGTCATCGATCGACATATCAGATTGTGGAGTATCTACAAAGTAAAGTCATCCCTTGGTCATCTTCACACCAGTCTGTCAATCCCCTGTAGTGCTTCGTTTAACTGTAATTTAAAGTAATTCCTCCCCCTACTGGCCATTTGATTATGTGTAAACAGTAAAGGCTGTACAGTCCCTGGTACCTTTTCAGAGGCTTTTGGTTTCCTCAATTATTTGTCATGTTCCAATGTCTTGACACCAGTATTTTAAATATATCTAAAGTCTGACTAGTCCTGTCAAAAGAGGTCACATTTGTATTAATTAACAGTTCACCCAGGATATAACTGACCTACAAGTGGCACTTTTTGACAAAAATCATCCTGACTGGGCACCGTCTGTCAAATTGGGCCACGAGAAAATTACAGCACCTTCCCCTGCTACACATGCCAGTTATAAGTTTATGCGCCAGAAAAAGGTCATCCATCACTACTTGATCTCTACAGCATGGTGTCTGATATACCATCTTTAGAAGAGCTCACACCAGTCCTGGGAGCCACTGGGGAAGAAGAAGGACTGATTAAACCAGAGACTGGCACTGCAACTCAGACTGATTAAGGTTGGGTAAATACATTTTGAAAAAAACAATTGAAAGGGCAAAGTATTATATTTATTACAGGTTTCCAATTTACCCAGTGAAAAACAAGTACATGCTTCTTTAACTGTAAGCTGCAGAGATCACCTCACATAACAGATAGATTAACATTGTGTTCATATTACAGTTTTTTTCAATGCTAAAACACATTTTTTGAAAGCAGGGCTTATTTTCTCAAAACACTAAACACATTCACAAAACCATACACACAAAGTGCAAAACACCTCATATATACTGCAGACTTAAGCACTACACCCAGAACTACAGAAACACTTACCAAAACCAAACTGTTGCACCAAATGGCACACACTTCATTCATAGTACAAGACATTTTGTAAAACCAACTACACACCATCGTGCTCAAGCACACTGTTTCATGGCGTTTGATATAGAGAATTCTGCAAATAAAGATTGTTCAAGTCTCCAACATATGTGCAGAAACACAAATATACTGTTGTTATACTTTTCAAAAAGTGGAAAGTTGAATTGCAAATTGGGTGCAGAGCTGAACATGTGTTTAGAGTTTTGGATATTTGAGCTGAGGTTTTGCTCTTTGAGTGTCAGTTTAAATAATGATGATTTTTGTATCATTTTAGTGTGCACAACTTGTTTTGATTGTTACATTTACATTACATTACATTGCATTTAGCTGAGGCTTTTATCCAAAGCGACTTACAATAAGTGCGTTCGACCAACAAGACACAACCTTGAAGAAAACAGAGTCATATAAGTACATCAGGCTTCATAGAGCAAAACATTTCAAGTGCTACTCAACTGGCTGTAGATAAGCCAGTCCTTTATTAGTATATAAGTGCTTTGTTAATAAATCTATCGCTCGAAGTGGAGTCGAAAGAGATGAGTTTTCAGTCTGGAAGGTGTGTAAGCTTTCTGCTGTCTTGATTTCAATGGGGAGCTCATTCCACCATTTTGGAGCCAGGATAGCAAACCCACGTGTTTTTGCTGATGGGAACTTGGGTCCCCTTCGCAGCGAGGGTGCAGTGAGTCGTTTGGCTGATGCAGAGCGGAGTGCACGTGCTGGGGTGTACGGTTTAACCATGTCCTGGATGTAGGAAGGGCCAGATCCATTCGCAGCATGGTAAGCAAGTACCATTGTCTTGAAGTGGATTCTAGCAGTTACCGGAAGCCAGTAAAGTGAGCGGAGGAGCGCAGTGGTGTGGGAACATGTAGGAAGGTTGAAGACCAGACGAGCCGCTGCATTCTGGATGAGCTGCAGAGGTCGGATGGCACATGCAGGTAGACCAGCCAGGAGGGAGTTGCAGTAGTCTAGGCGTGAGATGACGAGAGCCTGGACCAGAACCTGAGTCGCTTTCTGGGTCAGCTGGGGACGTATCCTCCTGATGTTGTAAAGCGTGTATCTGCAGCAGCGGGTTGTAGCAGCGATGTTTGCGGTGAAGGACAGGTTGTTATCTAGGATCACACCCAGATTCCTTGCAGTCTGAGTCGGGGAAACAACTGAGATGCCGTGTACTTACATGTTCTTTATATAGATTTGATGTAAAAGAAACAAGTTCAATCAAATAAATATATACACTGTCATTCAGATTGATTAGTACTTCTGTTTCTTTTGAGAGGGGATGCCTTTTCCAAGGTAATTGTCTTGGCATCACGTATCCGTATGTTTCTATGTAGAAAAGGAGAGATGCAACATGGGTACATGTTGATCCCAAACCAGCCTTGCAGTTGCAGTTAGCTGTGATGACTGCACCATCCTTCTTCATCAGTACCCACGGACATGTTGGCGGCAGCCCAATACTCTGAGAATGCAATACCTGAAAAATAAAATACAAAAATATTATTGGATTGTTGACTATTTAGAACCACCTTGTCATATGTTAGGTAGCACATAACAGAAGCTGACAACCAAGAATAGGTTGACAACTTTTGGAATGTAAATATATTGCAATATATAATAAAGCTTTATTTATAAAGCCCTTTTCATAAAGCACGTGTAGCTCAAAGTGCTTTACAATCACAAGTTAAAAATAAACCACGAGAAATTCCCCTCAGATCAGATGTTAAGACCTTTACAGGTACATA